GTACTTTCAGCATTCTTCGCCAGTACCACAATTCAAAAGCATCAACTCTTCTTCGGTCTTCCTTATTCATTGTCCAGCTCTCACATGCATACGAGGCGACTGGAAATATCATGGCTTGTGTCAGATGCACCTTAGTCCTCAAGGAGATATCCTTGCTCCTCAGCACTTGAAACAGTTCTTCTACTAGCCAGTATTTAATTCACTTCTTTATCCTTTTCTTCAAAGCTCAGGATTTCAGGATTATCCTCTGTATCTGTTTTAATTGGTTTCTCATTTCTTTGTTGTAGAGAGTCTGGATGGCTATTCTGCATGTTCTGCCATCTTTTCAGAAGTTGCATTGCATTTCCAGAGGCTGTTTTTTTTTAATCACCCCCGACAGAAACTTCTTGTTATTGTTGCTGTTGTATTTGCCATCGAGTCAGACCCAACTCATAGTGACCCCTCTTTGGGTTTCCGAGGCAGTATCACTACGGAAGTAGATTGCCCAACCTTCCTTCTGAGGAGTGGCTGGTGGGTATGACCCACCATCCTTCTGGTTAGCAGTCAAGTGTCTTAGGCACTATGCTACCAGAGCTCCTAACAGAAATTTAGTATCTCGTAAATATCTTTCCCATCGCCCCTTCCCCCTGTCCTTTGTAACCACTAATAAACTTGTCTCTGTGAATTTAACTGTTTTTTAGATTTCATTTAAGTGGGATTATACAATGTTTGTCCTTTTGTATTTGACTTTCTTTAAGAGAAACTTGTGCATGCTAATTCTCATACATATACACACCCTGAAGAATATATACCAAAAAACTAATGACAGTAATCACTGCATAATAGGGTTACAGGCAATTTAGTTCTCATTGAACTAAAGTTTAGTTTAGTTTTTCTGTATTATCCTTTTTAAAGACTTTTAATCAGAAAAGAAGTTTAATGTAAAAATTGTATTATATGTTTAAAAAAGTCAGTTAAGCATATATTTTAAGATAGCAAAGAACAAAAATTTATCTCTTGAATAGTAATTATGCTTATATGGCAGAACTATGGTTAATTTCTTCTTTTTTAAAGATATAAAAAATGTTTTAAATTTATTTCCTGTTTTGGCAATATAATAATGGCAAAAAATTAAACTAGGAGCTCTGGTAGCATAGTGGCTAAGGCAATTGGCTGCTAACCAGAAGCTGGCGTTCAAACCCCCCAGCCACTCCTCGGAAGGAAGATGGGGCAATCTACTTCCGTAGTGATACTGCCTCGGAAACCCAAGGAGGGGTCGCT